CGGACACACACACACACACGCACAAAAAAAAACAACGGAAATCAAACTAAACTTCAAACAAAAATCTCTAACAAATAAACACAAAAAAATCAACCAGCCATCCAACCAAACAAACAATTAAACAAAAAACCCACTACCATTGATGAGCAGGTTGTTGACGTGCAGTCCCAGGCCTGTCTGCACGGACCAGCTCACGTCCAGCGTGTACCAGAAACCTGGCCTCATCTCGCAGGGGAACGTGCCCACATAAGTCTCCCGGGAGGTTTTCACGAACACGTAAATGATCTGAGAGAAGTAGCGCACCGTGAGACCGTTGCCGCCGCCCACACCTCCGCTGGAGATCAGGACCTGGGAGTCGATCAGATTGTTATTATCTACAGCGATACGATAAAAATAATAATGTGTCACGGCGCGGTGGAGTAAGGCCAAGGGTGCACGTTAATTTTTGAGCATATGGAGTTATTGGTATCACCTTAAAGGTTGTTCTATTGCCTTACTCTAGATGGAAAAAGTACCCGTTTATCTTGAATAGAATAGACATAGAGGTATTTTTGCAATTGAAGAAGGAGGGTGTCGCCTGTATTCAGAAAAATGTAAGCGAGAAAAGGACCACCAAAGTTTGGTAACTTCCATAGTTTTAAAGTCCTTGGACACAGAAAATTTACAATTTTTATTCTGTGCCTTTTATCAACGTGTTTTGGTAAAATTCACTTTTAAAAATGTGTTTTTACATAGACATAAAATATGTTGAGCCAAAAAACAAGAATTTGACAAAATAGCCAAAACTGGCAGGAAAATGACATTTTCTTAGGTTTCACCTGATTTCACCACAATGCCCCACATGTTATCATGACATAGGACGTTTTAAACGCCTATTCAGTTTGTTAGTGCTTTAGTCTGTACGTGCAATCCGCAGCTTCTGAATGTTGTAAGTTCTGCAGGGGTAATAGTGGTTGTAAATCGCAATCACTATGCTGTAGAGTGTGAACATGTGCTATGCAACTATTATTATTATTATTATTATTATTATTATTATTATTATTATTATTATTATTA